GCGCGGCCGACGCCCCGCCCTCGCGGCCACTGCCGCCGCGACGCGGCATCGGCCGCAGAGGCGGAGCGCCGGCCGCGCTCGCTCGCCGATTGGTCAGCGTTTTTCGTTAATAACTCGCGAACGAAGCCGCGGATCGCATTTCCGCTGAGGAAAAAGTTGCTTCAAATGACTCCAGGAACCTCTCGTTTCCCGCTCGTGCAATAATTTTGGGACATCCTGTATTATGTCGAGCCATAAGTTCGCGCCGTTTGCTGCCTCCATTTTCAACGTTTCAGGCATCTCTCGATGAATTCCGCGTTTCATCCCCGAGATTTTTGCGCGCTCGTCCCAGTTCGGTCGGACATCCGGAACCTGGTTGGTAAAAATTGCCAGCAAAAAGATACAATTTTATTTAGTTACCCGCGGCGAAAGTTTATCGAACGACGCTCGAGTTTGTTAAATTCCGATTCGAAAATAGTTATCAGACATTACAAATGAAGGGGTTCGAATCAGATCGTACAGGTGAATTCTCCCCAATGTTCCTTCGGCTTGTAAACGAAGGCGGACAATCTGGGAAGAGGAGACACGATTATTCGAGGCTCGCGGCTCGTTTTCATAATCGTCAGATTGTCAGTTTTCGTTTGCGAACCGAAGGAAAATTCGGGAGAACTTCTTTCCATCGGACGTACGCTTGAAAATATTCGAACCGACGGCCACAGTTTAGGGAAGAGCCGGAGAACGGCGACGCGGACGGTTCGCCGATTATTTTATCGTTGCCCGAGGAAAGGGTTGAGCATCTTGAAACGCTTATCGAAGGACCAGCTCTTCGTTTCGTGGATTTTTAAACTGTCGACTGTGTTTCAGCCAGGTCTTTTTCGACGAAACCGCTCCCCGAGGTAAACGCACGGAAGTCCGGAAATGGAAACTACCCGATTGGCCCAGAAGCGGCGGCAGCGCGGCGTTCCATTTATCTAGATGTTCCATGTTTGGACAGGCCGGGATGTCCTTAAATGCTCCTCCTTTCCCTTTCTCTTCTGCCTGTCTCTGGTTTCGACTTACTCTCTTCCTCCTCGTCGCACGGCGGTTCGCATGCGGGAGGTCGCCACACACGGATCCACCCTCTTGGCCTGCTGCTGCTGCTGCTGCTCTCACTTCCGATATACGGTTCCAGCTTAAAAAGAGAGAGAGAGAGAGAAAGAGAGAAGAAAAAGAGCGGGCCGCCTGTTAGAGGTTTCCGAACGATATCCTCGTTTGCGTCAATTAGCACGCTGCCAAGCAAATTCTTAGGAAACCTGTTCTTAATATTCTTACTTCGTCGATCCACGCGGTCGGGCTCCTCCTGTTACAGAAACACGAGCCGATATTAACCTGCAAGCAAGGTGCATATCTGCTGTTACAGCTGTTCAGAGGTTGAATTGATCCAGCTTCATGTTCTCGGGCTTTTTAAATCTTAGCGACGATGCTACTGATCAACCCTTGTCTTTTTATGTTTGATACTCTCCTTGGAAGATTTCGTTTTCTTTCTGGATCTCTCTTAGCGCCACGAAATGGCTAACAGTTTTTCGGCTGTGCAATAGTAAAATGTTTACTGTTCATAGTTATTTGGTAATTAATATGATTCGTAATTTGCATAGTGATTTAGTAATCGTACATGTGTATATATAGGTTAGACAATTTGTTGTTACACCTGTTTGTTAAATTAAAGCTGCTTGTAATAGTTTCTATACATATTTACATTGTGTATGTATGTATAGAATAGTATTTATACATATTTACAATATGTATGTATGTATACAATAGTATTTATACATATTTACAATATGTATATACATACAATAGTATTTATACATATTTACAATACATATATTATTCTTATCATATTTACATTATATTTATATTGCTTTCTATTATAAAGCAACGTATATTATTCCATCAAATTTCCCCACTTTTTCTTTTACTCATGCTATTATACACTTACATTTTGTATCTCAGACACAAAGATCTCAGTACACTGATCTCGCAGCGTCTGCTTCTCCAAACATATTCTCCTTCTCATTCTCCTAATTTCTGCTCAACCCTCCCCGAAATATTTGCCCCTCCTATATTCGTCCCTTCGTTCTTTCGCATTCCCTTAGCACATGCCACGTTTTGCTTCCTTCTCCTCACCACATTGTACTTTACACACGTCCTCTATCTTCTTTATCTTCCAACGTTGTTTACCCTTCACCCCATTCCCACATCTGAATCTGTATTATTTTCGTTTCCCGTTGTTCATGTTATTTTTTAGATATTTCTGTTATCCTCCCGTTTCGTTATCCTTTCTTTGCCCCCCCCCCCCCCCCCCCCCCCCCCCCCTCCCCGCCTCACGCCTCCTCCGCAGCACCGGATACAATATCGTGCCGGCTCAACCGCGCGGTTATGGTAAGAACCCTTTATTGTTTTATATTGTTTCCAGGCTGCCTTTATTATATGGCCGGGGCTGGCCTCCACTCCGCAGCCCGGCCAGAATCGAAATAAAATTGCCGCGAACGCGCCCTGGTATTGCGGAAAGGATTACCAGGGCCGAGGCCCTGTATTTAGGGCAACGCAGAGGTCCTGGAAAGAGAGACGCGACAATTGTTCCGCGATTTTTAATTGGGCCGATTTCAAATATCACGCGATGTCCTAGAGATCGCCCATTTTAAAATTTACGTCTCGCGACATCCAATTCAGGACGTCTTTAAGACGTCTCTAAGACGTCCCGAAACAGACGTACCGAATAAGACGTCCCGAGACAGATGTCTGAAATAAGACGTCTTAAAGACGTTCCGGAACAGACNCCTCCCCTATTATCTTATATCAACCCCCTCACCCACCCCTCAACCATTATCTTCACAGTTACGATGATCAGAAGTTTCCACGACTGTAATAATTTTTTCAGAAGAGAAAAGAAAATTTATGTTTGTCAAGATTTAACAGAGCGTTTAAACATTGAAGACAAGAGATCAGAATATTATTTAGATTAAAAAGAACGGACTAACGTTGACGTTTGATGGGTTATTATTGGAAATTTCGAAGTGCGGCAAGCTGTTAATTATAATCTAATTATAAGCACAGAGAGAGAGAGAGAGCAGCTGTTTGCTTCATAAAATATTATTTATATATTATATAAGTATATACTTATATATTATATTTGTTAAATATTTTATTATAAATATATTATATTATATAATATATATAATTATATATATATATATATTATTTATATAATAATATTATACAATACAATTATTATATAATATTTTTATATAATATTATACATATTATATAATAATAGTAGCTTATATATATATAAAAATATTATATAATATTATATATATTATTTATGTAACATGACATAACCATGACCAAACGTATCTTACACAATTTCAATAATCGCGAATGAAATAATTCGTCGCACTTGATTCCGACGCGTTCCGCGAACCCGGCGCTACTTTTCTCACAGTAAACCTTTGATCCCAGGACCCAACACTTGACAGCCACCTACCTTCGTCTCTTCGTCGCGAGTCGCCGCTACCTCGGACCCAAGATTCTTCCGCGTTTAATAGGGTCGGTCCGGCGACGCGGGGCGGCCTCGTCCAATTTGGCCGAGGTGAGGAAAACTCACGCGGCTCTTTCCCCCGTACACGGAAGCCCAGGGCCCGGGATTAAAATCTAGAAAAAGGGAAGAAAGGGCCCGACACCGCGCGTACATGCCTCCTTACTTCTCGGAGGGGCGGGGGAGGGGGAGAGACTTAAGCTACTCAAAACGGTGCGCCGTGGTACATCGGTTTCGGGCGTTGTCCGTGAAGAACGGGGATTAACACGCTCCACGACACCCTGTAATCGATATACCCTCCTCTATTTTTCTCTCGGCGAGCGGGTTTCTGTTTACGCCCCTGACAGAAACGAGCCCCGACACAGCTGGCTTTTCCAAGGCGCCCCTTTTCCAGCTCTTTCATTTCTTCACGAATATCCAGGAGGAAATTACTTCCACGGATATGCGTCGGCCTCTCACGAGTAGCCGTCGGAACGACGCGCGAACCCTCCAATTATTATTATTGTTATTGTTATTTCAACGGAAGAATTGCTTTGATCGCCGTTTGCACGCCGATCGGGGCGATCGTCCTCGGGGCGCTGCCGACCACCCTAAAATCACCCCCGAATTCTCGGCCGCGGGTGGCTTCTCATTTCTCGGACGATTCTCAGTTAACCCCTTTGCCACGCACTTTGACCAGTTCGACTCGGGATTTCTGAGTCTCTGGTTGTTGTTTCATCCCTTTGAAATTGGAACAAAATTTTGAGGGTGTTTTCTCGTCGATATTTGAGCATTCGAGGCATAGTATTATATATAATAGTAATATAATAAATAAATAAATAAAAATAAATAATAAATAATAATAGTATAATAAAAAAAAGAAATTCTTACTTCGAGGGAGACGATTAACAAAATAACGAGTAACGAGCAAGAAGTGGAATCAATATTTCTGTTCGTTCCGCATTGCACGCGTTTCTACAATCGAATGACAGCCTCGCGGAAGATGTCGATCACAGTTTCGGCGCTTCGATAAATGTCAAAAAGATTTTTCAGACCCTCGATGGTTCTCGCTTTCTTGTATCGCGCGGCGGTTTTCGAACAGGCCCGGGAGCGCGTGATTCCGGGAAGGTCGAAGGGCCAGCCTGGTTTTCGGGAATCGCGTCTGTTGGCCCGCCGTCGTCGGCGTTCTTAGCGAGGAAGGCGCCAACTTATCTCGACGAAGCGCGGCGACCCTTTTATCCGATTCTTCAAACTAATTACGAATTTAATAAAATTCTCTCCCCCGCGCGCCGGCCGCTTCTGAACGGAATATCTCTTTTTCGCCGCGGTAAAAAGGAAAGAAAAAAGAAAAAGCAAAACGACGATGCCCCCGTTCGTTCGTTCGTTTCTCTGGCGGCGAATTCATTCGATACTGCCCGATGGAAAGTTAACGAGCATTTGTCGATGCCGACAGAAATCTCTTCCCGACGACTCGGCCGCGTCGTCTCCCGTTAATTATACAGCCGGTCGTTCGTTAAATTCGAGCATTATTTTTCGAGATTATTTAGTTTTATTATTTTTATTATATTTTTTATTATTTATTATACTTTTTATTATTTATTACATTTAAGAGAGTATTTATTATATTTTTTATCATTTATATTTATTATATAATATTTATTATATTATTTATCATATTTGAGAGATTATTTATTATATTTAAGAGATTATTGATTATACTTTTTATTATTTATTATATTTTTATAATTCTAGATTATTTTCGTAATAAAATGTACGGTGGTCCACGGAAGCGAAGTAGTACTTGAACAGAAGTAGCCTGATAATTTTGTTCTCTATTTTTGTACCTGAAACAACGATTTATATTTTATATTTTTATTTTATTTTATACATATTTATATATTTTTGTACAAAATACTTATATACCATACGTTTCATATATTTTATTTATTTATTTATTTATTCATTTATTACAGGTGGTTCTGACGTCCATGCACAAATACATTCCACGCATCTGGATCGTTCGCTGCGACGACGCGACGAGAATGAGCGACTTGTACTCCCATCCAGCTTCGTCCTTCAAATTCAGCGAAACCGAATTCATCGCTGTGACCGCTTATCAGGTTAAATTAACTCTCGAAATTTAACCGGCACATTTGCCTGCATCGTTTTCCAACAATTCTGTGGCTGTAAATAAAATCGACGTGTATTATATACATATAGTATAATCTCATGGTTCCGATATTTGATACTCCGATATTCAATTTTTATATTTCGACATTTTTATTGTATATTTTTTTATGGTACTGCTTGTACCATAAATTATTTTGTATAATTTTATATTGTGGTCAGTGCTAATCACACGTAAAAAATATTGTTAAGACGATTAATAGGTCGGTTTTTCTTTCAACCACAGAATCACGTTCGAAATATTATATATATTATATATAATAAATATATATAATATAATATATTATATAAAGTCGAAATTCGAAACATGAATTGTACTGTCTCTTGCAGAACGAGAACATCACCAAGCTGAAGATCAACAACAACCCCTTCGCGAAGGGTTTCCGGGAGACCGGGCAGTCGCGATGCAAGCGAAAGTTCCAGCAAAACGGAGACGGTGGATCGAACCGCATGGAAGACGATGACGGTAACATGTCGTCGGGATCCGAGTCGAATAGGACGAATCACGTGGCGGACGTTGTCGCTCACAGACCGAAGACTGCGTCCAGCGAGACCGGAAGCCTCGACGACAGCGGTCTCAGTAGCTGCGGGGATATCAGTCCGCCATTGATCAATCAAAACTCATCGTCCAGAGACGCAGACCGGGACGCGCAACGTCGTCTACACAGACCTTGGATCGACACGGCGCCGCAATTTTCGTCGACCTCCTCCTCCAGGCCGAACAGATACGAAAATCTGTTGAACCTTCCGGCGCACTACTTCCGGCTACTTCACCCTTCGCTTACGATGCAAGAGGACCTGGCCAGGTTACGGTACCAATCGATGCAGCAATTCACGAGACACTATTACCAATAACGATTGGTATATTCCTCTGGATAGATACAGGGTATTCCGAAATTATTGTACGAACGAGAAGCGAGAGATTCCTGAGGTCATTTGAAGCAACTTCCTCCTTTACAAAAACTTTCTCCGAGGCACCGTTTACGAGTTATTAAGGAAAAATCGCTGACCAATCGGAGAGCGACCGCGGCCGGCGCTCCGCCAGCGCGGCCAATGCCGCGTCGCGCCGGCCGTCTGACGCGGCGACGGTGGTTGCTAGGACGGCGCGTCAGCTGCGCGCGATCTCCCATTGGTCACTGTTTTCCGTTAATAACTCGTAAACGGAGCCGCGGATCGCATTTTCGCTAAGGAAAAATTTGTTTCAAATGATCTCAGGAACCCGTCATCCTTTGCTCGTGCAATAATTTTGAGACACCCTGTATATTAGGACCTGCAGAATGCATATTGTCGAATACTTTAATGCTAACCTGGCGTCATTGAGGTAACAAAGTGTGACGCGACAAATGTGGAGTATTTACATGGCCCAACTTCTTTAACAAAACATTTAAGAATAGCTATTTTAATAATTTTTAATTCAAGTAATACATTTGTCGAAAATGTTACAAATCTATTATTATTATCGTCGTTTTGTTTAAAGCAGGTTGTGCGAGTAAAACTCCTATCTGCTAAGGCCAAGGATTGAATTATTTTTTTAATTATGTTTTATATATATATATAATAATGATATCTGCATCGCGTTCTGCAGTGTCCTATAATATTCGTATACAGCGGTGTTCTCCTTCGCCTTGTTCAATACGAATTACAGTAAATTCTCCTTAATTGAAACATGTTTTTACAGTTACCGATTGTCAACAAATTCCCGGATTGTTCATATTTACACCCGGTCTGAGGCGTCGATTTAGGGAGTGAATTCACTGTAATCGCAACGTTAACTCTGCAAGTATGAATACAAATATTGTCCATCGGCGCTTCGTTACCGTGGACGGTGAACCAAAGATTTCTTGTATTTAGTGATGATAGAGGGCCGATATCTAACTGACCTACAGGGTGTCCCAAAAATGTCTCGCAATCCAAAAGTGGGGGACCACGGATCATTTGAAGCAACTACTTCCTTTACAAAAATTTTCTCCGATTCACCGTTGATGAGTTATTAACGAAAAAGCAGGGACCAATAACCGCTCATTGGCTCGGTCGCCTCGCGCCATCCGAGCTTGCCTCTCATTGGTCACTGTTGTTCGTTAATAACTCATTAACGGTGCCTCGGAGAAAATTTTTGTAAAGGAAAAAGTTGCTTCGAATGTCCCGAGGAACCCGCCACTTTCCGATTGCGAGACATTTTTGGGACACCCTTTAGTATGCGGCCCGACCTAGTTCTACGATGTAAAAATGTGAAAGTCCGCCGATGTTCGGATGGGTGAAAAGATAGTTTTGAGAGCGAGAGTAATTTTGTTAGACGAAGCTAACGAGTTAGGCTTGGATATTGGCGTCGTTTCGAATGGGATACGCTTCTGGCAGGTGTACATAAGTTGTTACAGTGTGAAAGGGCTTTTAATGAAACGCGCGGTGGCTGCTCTTGCTCGAAAGTATCTTTTAATACGTCAGCGCGGGTTGGATGTTAGCATGTTTTTGGATCTTCGACGATAAGAAGCGACCAAAGATGTTTCGTGTGTTACTTTTGTAATTAACAGTGACTTCGAAAAGTTACCGAAGACAATAATCTATTTTCTGAACGACGACGCGTGCTGTAATCTAAGTGCCTGGTAATGCGGATGCGCATCGAATTAAAATAAGTACAATTTATAATTAGTGCCTTATCGAGTGGAGAGATTAATTGTTAGACTGCGGATCTTTACTGAGCCGTTTTACAACATTTTTCCTGTGCAATCTGTGCGTCGATTAGAGGAGAATTTGTTGCGATCGTCGTGAAAGATAATTAAAAATGCTTTTACACCCCTTGCATTTTAACGCGTCAGGGTGCCGAATGTTAACTCGACAAATTCGCAGAATATCAAAGTCATTTTAATCAATGAAACGGAAAGGAGAAAGTGAAAATTTACCATAGGAAATGCTGGCTTAGATATTTTGTATTCTACAAATTGAATTTCATAATAATAATTCTCCTAGTTGAAAATTATTGTCACCCGTACGCGACTCACGTGGCACCGAACATGTTAACAAATCTGGCACATCAGCCATAAACGCGTCTAAGATCCGCAGTCTATTTAATTATTAATAGCGTTTTAAAACGATTATTGGTATTTGCGATACGGTGGTTCCTCGAAGTGCTCGTTCGTCTGCACGATGAATACACACGAAAAAAAACGGTTTTGCCAGTATTAAACACGGTGCATTATCTTTCCAATAATTGTTAATCGATTATACGTGCCTCCACATTGTTTATGCCGTCTTTACATGTATTTTTACAGTTTAGCTTTTAACTTTTTGAGAATGTTTAAATAGTTTTTATCAAAGATAGCGTTACTTAAGATGTATAGTCTAAGGGTACCGACGACTTTTTTACTCGTATTATCATTGTAATAAATGATATTTTACACAAATTTCGCAATTCTACTTCTTGGTACTTCTTGGCCGATGTGTTTGTATAGCTCTTATTAATTCCCAACAAATTGTTCATTCTTCTTGGAAATATATTAATATAATATTTAATAATATAATATTTAATTATATTATAATAATATAATATTTAATAATATAATATTTAATTATATTATAATAATATAATATTTAATAATATTTAATAGATATCGGTAAATTTTTTGTTTTGTTTTTAAATGGGGACAGCAGTCTCTCGTTGAACGTATTGGATCTTTTCGATGCTTTTTGTACTCGAAACTGCCTTGTGTTATCATTGTTTATAACCGAGTGCAACCCGATTCTCCGCTTATCTGACGAACCTTGCGCTGCAAACCGAGCGCGATACGCATTCATAAACACATATGTTAAACCTGGAATGTAGGTCAATTGAAAAAAGAAGAACCTTCAGCTGCAAAGAGTTGTTCCGATCTCGGTGTTACTACTAAATATACAGGGTGTCGTTCGAAGCAACTTTTTCCTTTACAACAATTTTCTCCGAAGCACCGTTAACGAGTTATCAACGAAAAACAGTGACCAATGAGAGGCGAGCTCGGCTGGCGCGAGGCGACCGAGCCAATGAGCAGAACTGGGCTTCGTGCGTCGGTTGGCTGGGCTGCCTCACGCCAGCCGTACCCGATTCTTATTGGTCACTGTTTTTCGCTGATAACTCGTAAACGAAGACGCGGATTGCATATTCGCAAAGGAAAAAGTTACTTCGAATGACCTCGGGAACCCTCCATTTCTGTATTTCGAGACATTGGGACACCCTGTATACGACACTGTGAATGGACAACGTCGCGGAGGATTAAATTCTCGATGAGATAAATTCAATCCAGTAAGAGATAATTATAATATAATTATTATATTATATATAATATAATAATATAAATTATATTATTTGAAATTATTATTATTAATATTTTAAATTAGGTAATATTCTGACTGAATAGTATATTACCATCTTCGATCCCATGCCTCGTAATTTAAAATATTAATAACAATAATTTTAAATAATATAATTTATATTATTAATATTCTTCCTGAATGAAGTGGGGGAAACGGTACAGTCATTAGACAAATTTAAGAAACCGCTGGCCTCAAGAGGAAGTGCCTGCGGAGACACGAGTTCTCGTTGTAAAGGACACGTCGCGTCTAAACGTCGCCGTCCCAAGGATCCCGGCAATACACACGGTATCAATGTCGCCCGAAACACTTTGGAATCAGCAGGGCGCCGCGTCGCGCCGCATCGCGTCGTGTCGTGCCGCACCGCGTCGTGTCGCGCCGACGCTCCGGCATGTCGAAGACATCTGGATTCGACAGGGGCTTCCGTATGACGATCGGCCGGCCCTCTTCAATACGTGCCCTTTCGAGTCTCTGCGAAATTGCTCGTAGCAATGCCCCGAGCCGCTTTTTCTAGACGAACCGCTACTCCCCGTCGTTCGTGAGAATCTCGAAAGTCTTGGGAACAGCGACGTTCACAAGTGCATCATCGTTCATCAGTCGCAAGCAGGAAGCTGGGACAACGGAGGCTGTTTCGCAACGGTGAATACTTGAAAACGTAACATAACCTCGACAGAAACTGTTCTTTTCGCATTGAAATGTTAAGTTGCCGGTTGACAGATCGTTTTCTGGCGTAGCAATTAGGGCGATTTGAGCTAAGGAAGAATAATAAATTTGAATGCAAGTTTGAGAGGGCGCAATATCGCAAGAAGCGCGAGGGTTATGTCACAAGGTTAGTATGCTACGGAATTTCGTGTTAACGTTTTATTTCAAATTGTCGCGATCCATGTTAAGGATTCGATCGAATCTTTTGTGAACGAACTGGATTTCAGTTGAGACGTTCAAACTTTGCAATCAGACTTTGCTATGTGTTATAGGTATTTATGTTGGAAGGTCGCAAATTTCAAGGACGGAATGCATATATATCTATATAAAGTATACATAGTATATATATATATACTATTAATAATATACTATTATATAATAATTACTACTAATTACTACTATTATTATAATAATACTGTTATAATAATGCACTATTATATAATAATTATACTACTAATTACTACTATTATTATAATAATATTAATTATAATAATAATTATAATATTATATAATATATAATAATTATAATAATATTATTTTTATCTATGTCTCATTAGTCCCATTAGTCATCTTCATCCGATGGATTCTCTTGTCTCCTACAAAACTATTGGACACTCAGTACATAGTTGTTCGCATCCAAGCCATGCGCAGGTATAATCTCAAGCTTTTTATGAAGTGCGTAGCCGATAAAAGAAAAAACGTTGAAAACCTTGAAATCAGGAGATTGAAGTGGCGATACTTAACGCGTGCGTCGGGACATTTCCAAGCTTACGTTTAGAAAGTATAACAGAACGATTGCTTGCTTCTAATTCGAGCTGCGATTGCGCACAAAAATGGACCCTGGTGTGGCACTGACTGTACCGCTGCAAAAGGATTCGCCTCCATTTGGCATGGATTTGGCGCCGGTCAAAAAACTCGATTCGAATTACAATTCGCGAAAGTATCACGAACGAATGCATTTTGTGTCGAGACAAACGGAATTCGAACGACTTACAGATTCATTGGTTTTCAGTGTTCAAGAAAACGCATGGGCGCGCGCGCGCGTGCGAAGCGAAATCGTCGATCGGCTCGAATCGTCGCACGGCCTTGCTCGCGTTGAAGAATCGAAGGCAATCGGCAATAATCCACTGTCAGCGGACATTGTGTCACAAACACGTTCACGGTTTGTGTTCAGTGGAACGGTTAACGGGATTGACCGCCGCGCGTAGATCACGAACGCAAGATTTTTCCGGGCATGTACTGTATCTGAATACGCAATCGCGTTCCGGAATCGGTTTGCCCGGTTCGTAGTACCGTACGGAGATCCACTTGTACACCTGTGCGTTTTCAATCAGGCGACAGGTGAACAAATGTTCGTACAATTATCGACTCGTTGCGTCAGTCCTTGCGCCAGTGCTTGCGCCAAAGGATTAAGACTAGTCTATCTTATGGCTCTCGTGCCACACGTGGTCACTCTTCGAGTTCCAAAACGAACGATAAATTACTCTCGCAACAGTTATGGTCTACCGTGGTCTATTCACTGAACTATCATTTACCGTACACTGTGCCCCTGGCCTAACTCTTCACCTGCTTACAGGGACAAAGACGTCGGCTTCCCGTCCGGCAAGCAGCACCTCTCGTCGCCGCGGCCATTGCCGTATTTGGGACAATACGGAGGGTATTTCCCGGTGTAGCAGAACGAGCCCCTCGTGCCGATCGGCGTGTGCTGTCCCATGGACACGTATTCGCCCGGTCTGCTCTCGATCCTCGGCCCGGAAGGACACCTTCTGGAGCAAGGCTCGGCCATCGGCTCCCGGCCGTCGTTGTCGACGCTCTCGGCCATGTAGCAGACCACCCAGACGTGGCTGCAGAGCTGCGAATTCGCTTTGCCGTCGCAGAACGGCTGCACCTTGCCGCCGTTCACGCAGAAGTCCACGTGGCCCATGCGGCCACTTTCCCCGTAATAGCCAGCATTCGTGTGGATCACCCCGACGAAGTCGGCGTCCCCGCTGTCCAGACGGTTAATGTAGCCGGGTCGCAGCAGCGGCCTGGCCGGGTCCAGCCCGATGATCCGGTGCATCCTGAACAGCAAGAAGTTCGCCATGATGCCGCAGATGTGCGCGCCCAGCGAGTGTCCCACGCAGGTTGTCCTCGCGATCGGCAGGCCAAGGTCTCTCAAGGTCGTCAGAGTACCGGCCAGACATTTAGCCACCGGCCGGAGGTTCGCCACCGCGGCCGGGTAACAGGGTGGCGAGCACAATACGCCCCAGTCGACCAGGAACACGTTGTAGCTACCATTCCGCAGGTAAGCGTCCCGGAGCACTGCAATCGGCAGGGTGTCGTCGCCACCTGAATTTGATTAAGGCTTTGTTTATTTATCTAACTTGTTGGAGGGCGACGAATTTTTAGAACCAATCTTCATTTGTGGATAATTTTGGTTTGAGGGTTGCCGTTAGGGGACCAATTTAATAATTGGATTAGGCTTGTATTGCGTGGTAGTAGAGAGTATTTGAAAAGAAGATTTTTGTAACAATAACTGTGTGTGATAATAATTGTGTATGTGTATGTTTTTATTGTTCGCGTGAAAGGATATGTGTTCGCATTTAACTTCGCAAGGTAACTGAGATACGTTATGTCAGTTTCATATGTTTATTAACAATGAACTAAGCGTCTCTTTAGGCTGTCAACAAGATAACAAAAAAAGTAAGCAGGCAAAACAAATAATAATAATTTTCACCGTAAATTCAGACGTTTTCGTATACTCGTATACTGTATGGTTGCGCCTATCGTTGAGACAAACATTTGTATAAACAATACTCTTTTTCTTGTTCACAAAATCATTCTATTTCGCGTTTCGCAATTCGTACGTTCATCGATTCACGCGAAATCGTATTAAGTAACACGGCAAACCCGAATTCCCCCCCCCCCCCCCCCCCCCCCCCCCCCCCCCCTNACTCTTTTTCTTGTTCACAAAATCATTCTATTTCGCGTTTCGCAATTCGTACGTTCATCGATTCACGCGAAATCGTATTAAGTAACACGGCAAACCCGAATTCCCCCCCCCCCCCCGCCGCCATTTCTTCGATTATACGTTAATTCATGAACATTACGTAAATTTCTACAAAGCAAGAGCGAAGCGGCTCGATAAATTATGGCTGTACATTTCTATGTAAAAGGGAAAATATCGCCGGCCAAATTCTCGATAATCTCAAAATTCTCCGTCGGAAATTTAGAAACAGCTATATTTGTGAACAATAACAAAAAAGCGTTTTTCTAAAACAAAATACGAAGACTCAGAAAAAAAACGTTGTACGTTCCTAACGCTTCGACGCTGTCGACGACAGGTTCCGGGACCACGTTTCTCATATAATATCTTGCGAAATACGTCGAAGAAAGCGGCAGATCAAATTTCGGGGGATCCTAAGCATATTCACAGTGTTATATGAGCCGTTTATTTTGAAAGTGGCATAAGTTACTTTTTCAAAAAGATCGAGTTAATGGTAACACTAATTACAGTTGAACGGTATCTTTTCATTTAAAAAAAAAAAAAGAAGTGACTTATGCCACTTTCATATCTTTCTCAGTAATACCGGACGCGCCGAAAAAATTAATCCTGTTCGAAGTTAACCTCTTGCCGTACCAATTTCTTCGCAATTACTATGATCAGAAATTTTTCGATTGCAATAGTCTCTTAAAAGGGCAAGAAAATCGATGCTTATTGTGTGCCTAAATTTATTTAAATGCTTAAATATATATTATATATATATATATATATTATATATATATATATATTATATATATAATGTTAATATAATGTGAATGTTAATATATAATATTATACATATAATGTTAATGTTAATCATATATAATGCTTAAATATACAGGGTGTCCAAAAAATGTCTCGCAACCCGAATTCGGTTGATTCCCGAGATGATTCGAAGCAACTTTTTCCTTAGCGAAAATGCGAGCCGCGGCTTCGTTTGCGAGTTATTAACGAAAAACGGTGACCAATCAGAGGCGAGATCATTCGACGCGAGATGGCCGAGCCAGTGAGAGCGGAACGGAGGTTATAAATCTAAGAGAAAATCATCCCCCCACCCCCGGTGAAAACGCACCCGCGTATCCGTGAACAAGAAGAACGTTCTCCTTGGTCGGCTCGTAATCCTGACGCAGCCAATCCGACGATCTGACGTCCAGTTCTCTCCTCGGCCGATCGGCCGCGTAAAGGAAGACCCGTATATCGGGATCGGGGCACAAATCTTTATCGTTCCCGCGCCTCCAGATGCACTTCTCCCGATCGTAATCAGCCGCAAGACCGTTCTGGATCGCCTCTTCGATCGGGCCGAGCGGCTTCTTCGCGGTGACGCGACCGGCGAGCAGCAACGCCGTCAGCAACGTCATCTTGAACAAGAACGCGGCGAGCAGCATCGCGACGTCGACGGAGCGGAAAAAGGCGAATTCGAGGGAACCGTTCGTGGTGCACGCGACGCGAGAACTGATCGCGACAATGCTTCTACTAGTCTGTTTTGTTCTTCGCCGGGGGCTCCCACCTTCTTCGCACGTGTCGCTCTTCGCACGGTGGCCGTTAGAGAGAATTCGGTGATCCGTGGGGGGGGGGGGGGGGGGGGGGGGGGGAGGTCGCGTCCTCCATGGATCACTCTGGCAAAAGCGGTTAAACTGTCAATAAACGTGGACGTAGTGTCAAGGTCGACGTTAGGATCCCCCCACCTCCACCGCCGCCGCCCAGCATGTTTCGGTATATGGTTGTTTACGATCCGAGGGCGTTGCGTCACACGATAACGTTCACGGTGTTCACTTTTATGCGATCCTGGAGGCCTCCGGAATTTGGAAATACCCCATTGTCATCGTTGGACTGCGAATTTGCGAAAATATTGGGCGATTGGAATTTAGCTCGGTGCGAATGTTAGAGCTTTCCGAAACGATACGAGTACAATATGTACAAAAATGTACTATTTTTAATGTATAATAATAATTATATATATATTTTTAATGCATAATAACATATATAATATATAATAACAATAATACATATGCACATACATATGTAATAAATAATATATGATAATAACAATATATGTATATATATAGTTATTATCATATATTATTTATATATTATTATTATTATTATTATTATTATTATTATTATTATTATATTATATATATATTTTACTATATATTTTAATATATAATTATGTATAATAATGTAAATAATCTTGCAAGCAACGAAGACAATTCTTATCTTGCATAGAAATCCGCGGTCTAGTTTTTTCGTTAAATTGCAGATCGTATTGCCAAACAATTGGGAAATCAAGTGCAGCAGAAACCACTTTTTTTAAACGGCTTCGTTCAATCTAGATTATATTTATATTGACCTGGATAAATTTTAAAGAGGACGACGCATAATCGATGCAAGCGGGCCCGACGCACGTCGTCGTGCATAAACAAATGATAAAGATTGCTATAAAACGATAAGATCATGTAAAAAAGGAAAAACGCGCGTTTATAGCGCGCCATATGCGGGTGACAATGTTCGTGGGTTGACGAAATCGCGATGCTAAATACGAGCTCCATGATTCGGCGAAGACGACGGGAAATATGTATAAGGACGCGGAGGAAACGCGATAGGAAAGTTGCGAAAGTGCATCGTTGTCGGCACACGAGTTCTACAGGGTGTCCCAAAAATGTCTCGCAATCCGAAAGTGGCGGGTTCCTCGGGTCGTTTGAAGCAACTTTTTCCTTTACAAAAATTTTCTCCGAGGCACCGTTAACGAGTTATTAATGAAAAACAGTGATCAATGAGAGGCGAGCTCGGCTGGCGCGAGGCGACCGAGCCAATGAGCGGAACCGGGCTTCGCGCGCCGGTTGGCTGGGCCGCCGCGCGTCAGCCGTACTCGATTCTTATTGATCGCTGTTTTTTCGTTGATAACTCGTTAACGGTGCCTCGGAGAAAATTTTTGTAAAGGAAGAAGTTGCTTCGAATGATCCGAGGAACCCGCCGTTTCCGGATTGCGAGACATTCTTTGGGACACCCCGTAGAAGCACGGATGGGTGGAGAGTTGGCACCGGTTCGCGTCGTAACGCGGTCACTTCTTTTCCCATTTTTACCAGAGAAACCGACGGAACGACGTGTGTTTACACAAATCATTGCATAGATTGACAAATCGCCGCGGCGGCTTCACGAGTGCTTGCTGTCCCTTTCCGAGAGGTACATGCACGCGCAAGAGTGTTATCTTTCGAGAGTAAGCAAGAAGATGGAAAGTGTGCTCTCATGAATCAGTAATACGAGCCGTTTATTTTGAAAGTGGGGCGAGTCCATTTCTTTGTTACTGCGAGATATTTATAGGTTTGCATTTCGATAAAAAAAAACATTGGTAAGTATTATATATATTATATATATTATATATGTATTATATATATACATTATAAATGTTTTAGAGACTACAGTCTAGCAATAATAATAAGTTATTAATAATAATATATATTATTAATAACAATATTACTAATAACAATATTATAATAATAAGTTATTATTTTAATTATCAAGTGAATATTTTACATATATAAAATCATCGAAGCGGTGGTGATAGCTAATATTAGCAAATATTGTCATGCATAATAAATTCGTTTATTTATAAAAATACCACATTTTTGTTGCTTATGAAACAGATTTAGTCGCCCGACATATTAGCATAGTTGGAGTTATGAATGATGAATCCTCTACGTATTCGTTGTTTGAAGAGAAAGTTCCAAATTCTGTTGATAGTATAGAAAGTGAAAGTCCCCCAAATGATCAACGTTTATGGAGACAATTTATTTTCTATCTTCCGACATGTTGCTTTTTCCTAATAAGTTTTCTATTGATTTTAACGTTATAACTATTATTATAACTATTATTATAACTATTATATGACTATATATTATAACTATATTATAACTATTATTATAACTATTATTATTATAACGTTGGACTATAGTCCAAACATTTATAATCTCGACGTTATAATTCACGAAGACCGGTCGTTTATTTGACGAATTGACGGTTTAATTGACGGATTTAGCTGTTTTCTCGGTTTTAGCTAATTTCCCGGATTTAGCTGCTTTCTCGAATTTAGCAGATTTTCGGATTTAGAACTTTTTTGGGATTTAGATCTACTTTTCTGTGATTTAGTCGAGTTATTAACTTCTTGGGATTTTATAAGAAGTTAAATAGATTTAAAATTATTCGTTGCTTTCGAAATTCCTTCTCGTACAAACAAATACTGATTGCTAGCCGTCCCAATTAACACTGGTACAAGTGAAACTGGTTAGTACTTGTTAGTCCTGGAATGGGTGAATAAACAAAATTTTGTAGATTCCTAAGGTAGAAGAAATCATTAGCTAAAATGTAACTTACTAGTTTTCTAGATAATATTTTGATAATCGTAGAAATGATTGCCGCTTCGAGTCGTTCTCAAACACGTTCGGGACGAAAAGTACAAGTCGAATATCACGCCAAGTGTTTCAAATGGAGCGCCAAGCAAATTGATGTGCGAATAGAGTGACGTCCTGTGAGGGCAGCACCGTCTAGCTGTGAATAATATAAATATAATATAAATATAATAATATAATATAATATATTAATATAATATTAATATAATATAATTGCTTTTTTTTTGTTTTGCTTACTATGACGGAGCACTACTATAGTTGTATCTCTTTCTCTCTATTTTATGTTCTAGATCTGATTGATCTTCGTCTCTCTTCGATCATTCCCTCGGTAAATCAATTCACTACCAGCGCACCTGCGGGTTCCATCGTCTGCCGGTAGAGGGTACCGTGCTCGGCCTGTTCCGCCATTACCGACTCCTTCGTGCGTTCACTTTTTCTATGGTAAGGTTAAGTCACGGTTATTCCCTAACCTCCTATACCGTCGTTGCAGTTATTACCTTCTTATCGTCTCGTGTCTTTTTCATTACCGAGTTTTATTTCGCCTTTTTCTTCCTTCTCATGTTCCTACTATTTCTCAACGTAGTTTCTCCATTTTAAACCATAAAAATCCAACCAATTCCCGTGCACGGCATTTTTTACAGAGTCGGTAATTCAGACACTTCGGCGACTGAACAGCGTATGGAAAATGTGCACGGACGAGCTATAGAATAGACTGATCATTTGATGGACTTTCGTAGCAATCGCGTGACTGTCATATCGACGCAGAAATTCGAGGATTGTTAAGTATGCGATATGGAGAAACATTTTCAAAAGTGTATAAATAAATAGTGTATAAATATAATATAAAATAATATATATTATTATTATAATATATATAAAAAAAGTGTATAAATATTGACCTTGAGATCTCGGAAAACATGAGCTTTAAGAAAAATAAACTTTGTACACTGTAATATGTGCTTCTTCGAACATAACGAAAATACAATTTGTTCTTGTAGCAGTTTTGAGTATTGTTATCTTTAACGGAGATATACAGGGTGTCCCACAATTATGATACATGGATTCGCGAGGTTATCCGAAGCAACTTTCTCCTTTACAAAAATGTTCTCCGAGGCATCGTTCGCGAGCTGTCTCTTATACACATCTAAGCAACTTTTTCCTTTTCAAAAATGTTCTCCGAGGCATCGTTCGCGAGTTATTGACGAGAAACACTGACCAATGAGGGGCGAGCTCGGCTGGCGCGAAGCGGTCGAAGCCCAGTTTCACTCTCACTGGCTCGGCCATCTCGCGCAAGCCGATCTCGCCTCCTATTGGTCACCGGTTTTCGTTAATAACTCGTAAACAAAGCCGCGGATTGCAATTTGGCTGAGGAAAAAGTTACTTCAAATGACCTCAGGAACCCCTTATTTCCCGAAAATACCATAATTTTGGGATTCACTGTATATACAGGGTAATATAATAATATAATAATATAATACAATGTTGTCAATATTAAAAAGTAATATTACTTTGTTTCTCGACGCGGCCCGCTGTGCGGCAGCATCCAGCGCAGGGGCACACGATATGATGGCAACCATTCTCCCGGAGTCTCCGACTGGACGGTGCACGTTTCCGCTGTGGTCCCGGCCGTTCACCGCGGCGCAGCGCGCAGTGCACAGTGCGACTCGCGTTTGCCCGGCGCCGCTGTTTACAAGGCGCTTCCGAGCCGCCGACTAATAAAGGGACGCGATAAAACCAGATATCGTTCAGTCTCGATTCTCGATCGCCGCGGATCCACGTCCCGGTTCGACCGCGCGCGCGTCCCAGTTCTCTCATGATCCGTGAACGAGCGTGCCAGCGGATTTCTGTACCAGCGAGATCAGTCCTGTCCAAAGAAAGACGGAGAAAGAGAAGAACAGGGTAGAGAAGGGGTCGAGCTTTTTCCGACGGACAGGTCCGAACGAGCGAGCAATTAAACACGAGGTAAAGAATAATTAAATAATATTAAATAATTAATAAATTATTAAATATAATATAATATATAATAATATATATAATATAATATATAATATAATAATAATATAATATATAATAATTAAATAATATTAAATAATCAAGCGGCTTGATTATTCTAGCCGATCGTTCATTTTCGCTAGTTTTCATTATTTTTCGTCGCCGTACGATTCCCAGTGGAAAGACCGTTTATTTGTTAATTTAACCGTCGCGATCTTTTGTATCCCTGTGATCTCTCGACAATCGGCCGGAAGTTGTGCGCGAGTGGCGCCACTGTGGGAACTGCTTCGAGGAGCTGCGTGAAGCACACGGCGATGCTGGAAAAACGTGCTCGTTTGTAAATTATTTTTCGATCCTGCGAATTGATTTTTAAACGTTGCTGACGGAAGGCTCGAATGTACGTACATTGGGCCGACATTTGTGAATTTATTATGCTGTCAGATGCGCGCGTATAACCTCGACATAGGCGTAGTTGTGACACGCTGAATCGTTTTTTTTAAACTTTGTTCACGTTTCAGGGATCAGTGTGGAACGAGGTCGTTTATTAGTTCTGTGTCGGTGTGATTTTCGATCGATATTTACGCGTGTTTTTTTTTTGTTTAAAGAGCTTCAAGATTTCAACATTGTTGTGTAGAATGAACTCGTGAAACAGTGAAAGTTGTTTCATTCCGAGCAAGTGGAGGAAATTGTGTGCGGCAAGTTTAACGATTGTTAACTCGAGGAAAAACGGGCTAAAAAATTCTAATAACTGCGCACTAAAAAAGGCGATAGAAACGAAATATCTTCGTGGCTTGAAAAAGGGAACTCTTGAGTAAGTTTTAAAAGTTGTTCGCAGGACAAGTTTATGTGCGAAAAATATATGTACATATTCCAATGTAAATTTTTCTATTGATACGTAACTGGTTTTCAGTGTTACAACTACATACTTTGAGACAAGAGAAGTTGTTGACAGTTCTACCCGCTCGTTATCCCATTCGTAGAGGACCTGTGTTTACCTTTTAACGGCCTGGTGTCTTATTTATGCCGTGTTTTCGCGGTTGCAGCGTTGCGAAAAGCCTTTCATAGTTGCGAATTGTATGGTTGTTCGCGAGCGCATTTATCTGATTTAAAACAGTTTATATGCGGTACTATATACTATATATATATATATTATATGATAATATTATATATTGCACAATTGTTGCCAGATCAAATTGATTAGAATAAATATTCTAATATAATTGATATGATATATAATAATAACGGTAAACTAAATTATTATATTAATATAATTATATATTATTATATATTATATAACATAATATAATATACTAAACTAAATAAATAAACTATTATAACTAATTAGTAAACTAAATTATTATTATATATTATATTATATATATAATAATTATATATAAATTATTATTATTATATATATTATATTATATGTATATATAATAATAATAATAATTTAGTTTACCGTTAATATTATATATTATATCAATTATATTAGAATATTTATTCTAATCAATTTGATCCGGCAACAATTGATGCAATTCGACCGCATCGGGCACGTTGTACGTACCACTTTCACACTTAATAACAGCACGAGAGTGACCTTCATTACGCCAATGCCACGTCCGTGAACAACGCGCGACAAATGCATATTATCGCATCGCAATATTAACAGCGAAAAGCAACTCGATCGCTTTCAGCTTTAGTTTCGATTCACGATTCATGCGACAGATCGGTGATCGTTAGATAACTTGTGACGAATACATGTATGTGTTATATATATATCTATATATATTATAATACATGTAACTGTTATTATTCTCGACGGATCAGCGGCAGCTTCAAGATTTATATTGCGCTTGTTTATGGCCTAGAAGCGCGGTCAGTCGGTGAAAAACGCAGCAAGATATATATGTCAATCTGCTGTTCGAATTATCCTCTTCGAATCGTTCCATTTGTCAGCTTCGTAATATACAGGGTGTCCCGGAAGTCACTGTCAACCCGCGGCTTTGTTCGCGAGTTATCAAATATGAAATTGATGTTACTAATTATGAAAATATTTGCAAAGGAAAAGGTTACTTCGAACGTCCCCGGGAACCCCTTATTTCCCGAGTGACTTTTCGGGAAATAATATTTGTAATATATATATTTTTTATATATATATATTATATATTATATATTATTATTATAGTAATACAATATAATATTACAATATTATAATAATATAGTGACGCAAACGCGGGCGAACGTCTCGGCGCACGGAGAGGACAAAGACGAAGAAAGAGAGAGAGAGAGGCCGATTATTTCAAGTGTCACCCAACACGCCGCTTATCGCGGTCAGTTTAGTGCGTGGCCTACGAAAACAAACGGTACGCAGAGGAGATTAGCCGGATCGGACGGACCGCTGAAAAGTGACTTGCATATTAGAGAAAGCGGCCGGAATCTAGCGACAAATAAATGGTGTAATAATCGTCCTCGGTGCACAGTGTTTACGCGTGCAAGATAAGTCGCCGCGGCGAAGGGAGACGGCGTCGCCGCGCGTGGGAACTGTTCGCGGATTTTACGACGCGAGTTATTTATATATAATTATTATATATTATTAATATTATATATTATATTTAATATATTAACTATATTATTATATTAATATAATAATAATATAATAATTACATATAATAATTTACATATAATTATTTTTCGGACGCTGTTTTTCCGCGCGTGAAACGCGGCGGCGACCTGCGCCGCGTGGAATAATAACACGACGATCATCGCCCTCTATCGTTTCGTTCTTTCAGACGGGCCGAGAGCAGCCAGCAGTCGGAGGCACGCTGATCTAATTGTACATCGTCGTCCCCCGTCGTCGTCCATGGAGAGCTACACGTCGGACTCCAGCGACTCGGATTCCAGCGCGAAGACGCTGGATCTGTCCTATCTGATGCTGAACACGGAGCTGCTGAACGAGCATTTCGTCACCGTGAAGAATCCGGAGCAAGTGGACACGTTGCTGCTGCACCGGAACCCTCTGACCAGCATACCGCACGGCATCGTTCGTTTCACCAATCTGACCGCGCTCTCCGTATCGAACTGCGGGCTGCACCGGCTGCCGGACTTTCTCGGCAATTGTCCGCTGTCCTGTCTCGTCGCCAAGCACAACAGCCTGACGAACGACTCGCTGCCGAAGAGCTTCGAGAACCTGATCGGGCTACGCGAGCTGAACCTCAGCGGCAACCAGCTGACCGAATTCCCCGAGCAAATTCTCGTTCTCACTGAGCTCAAGTATCTTTATCTGGGCGGCAATCATATGACCGAAATCAGCAAGGACGTGTGGAAATTGCAGAGGTATTAGATTGGGCTTCGCGTCGTGTCTTTCACGGGGGGTTCGCTGATGCGGATGATAAGATTGATTACTCGGTGCGGTTAACGATAGATTTTAAGTAGACTTCGTGTGGATTGCTAATACCTTCAGTTTGTTAGTCTTTTAGATTGGACGCTATTAATTCTTATTATTAATTTTATTATATATGTAATTAATATGTATTATAAATTAATTAATTTTATTATATATGTAATTAATATGTATTATAAATTAATTAATTAATAATATATTAATATATTATATTAATATAGTATGTATATATTATATATGTTATATTAATATAGTATATATATTATATTAATATATTATACATATTATATTAACCGTTTGACTGCTGAGGAGCACTATCGCGCTCTTCTTATTATGAAAAAATACGTCAGCAGCCAAACGGTTAATATATTTAATATAATATATTTAATATAACGGTTAATATATTAATATAATATATTATATTATAATTATTATTATCTTCTGTATTATCTTCCGATATATATATTATTATTAAATATATTATGTGCATAATATGTGCATATTATATTAATATAGTATATATATTATAATATATAATATTAATTAATTAATTTTTTATATTACATTTCTACAAATTTATTAACAACTAAATATAACCGAGCACTATGAATGTGACTCATTCTTGTCTCATTCGTGAAAGTTGTAAGATTGCATTGATTTAGGCTTCGCGCAAGTTTTATCATAACAAAGAAATTTAATCCATTATTTCACAGTAAACAGCATCTCTGCAATATGAACAGTTCTAGAACAGAAAATTGGAAACCGGCGACGGTGACTTTACCGTAAACACTCAAGCAGCGGAGCAAGGGTGCGAGTGGAATTTGTGTTTGCGTTACGTAAATCGTTCCGTAGATCTTTAAAAAAGGCGACCGTATTATTATTTCGCTCTAATTTGCGTATGCACGTTTCGAGAAGTGGCGTCGTGTTATCAAGCTGTTACGTAGAAACGGCAGTTTTATAAATATCATTATCGTAAAAACTCCGCGACATTCTTATCGGTTTCCGTGTCAGCGAAGCCCCCTGCGGGTCGTAGTCCAATTTCCTTTCTCATCGAGTATAGCCGAACAAAGTTTTCCAACAGGAGCGTCGCTTATCCGACTGTCTCATTAATTAGTTGATTTGCGTAGCATGTATATATATATATATATCTGTGACCCGACTACGCCGGATAAAGAAGGCGGCGTAACATCAGAGTTAAATCGCGTCGTCTGCTTGCCGTAGATTACACGTGTTGTCGATGGGAGGCAATAGACTGACGGAAGTACCCTCGACGCTGAGCCGGCTGAAGTCCCTGCAGGCGTTGGTGCTCTGCGACAACATGCTGGAGAGCTTGCCCAGCTCTATTGCCAATCTGACCAACTTGAAGTCGTTGCTGCTTCACAAGAACCGACTGAGGACACTGCCGACCGAGATTATTACCTTGAAGTGTTTGACCGAGGTAGCTCGTTCTACAGGGTGTCTCGAAAATGTCTCGAAATCCGACAGCAGGGGATTCCTGAGGCGATTCGAAGCAACTTTTTCCTTAGCGAAAATGCGATCCGCGGCTTCGTTTACGAGTTATTAACGAAAAACCGGTGACCAATGAGAGATCGCGCGCGGTTGACGCGCCGCCCTCGCGACCACCATCGTCGCGTCAGACGGCCGGCGCGACGCGGCATTGGCCGCGCTCGCTCTCCGATTGATCAGCGTTTTTCGTTGATAACTCGTAAACGAAGCCTCGGGGAACATTTTCGCAAAGGAAAAAGTTGCTTCGAATCACCTCAGGAACCTACCATTTACGGATCGCGAGACATTTTCGGGACACCCTGTAGACGGAATATAATGTGCAATTGTTCAAGAGGCGTTCACTGTTAGGACAGCGTGACTCGGCACGATAATTGTTATTTTGACCCTGCGAGGGCAAATGTCGACATAACGCAATGACTTCGGAGAACTACGCCCAATTCTGTTTCACACGATAGACGAGATAGACATGGATATATCGCGGAGAAATGAACGTCGTGCACGTGCGTCGAAAAATAGGGGAGCGATTATTTATTTGTGCCATGCTCTTGAAAATTTTGAAAGATAATTTGACATTTCTTTAAGATACCGAGAGAGTTGCGGTTGTCGCAAACGTGGGACCGCTGATAACGAATATGTTATGTAATTAGATTATTTATGACGAGCTACAGTTTCTCGGTTTTGATATAGATATTTACGTTTCTGTTTTCTTCGGGATATTCGAGCTATTTTCATGTGGGAAAATTCAAGTGACAAATTACATATAATTCCATGATATTAATGATAATTAATATTTTATATTATATCAATATTTTATATTATACTAATATTTTATTTTATATTAATATTTTATATTAATTTTATTAATACAAGAATTAAGAATTTCCTATAAATGTTACATATATCTCTCAAAATCGCTTTAATTAGCAATATCCACTGAGTCTCTTAATTCCTCGATACGGACGGATTTTCAATATTTTTATTGAATTTTAAAATACGAAACTAATTGTTCTGACTGTGTGTGTGTGTGTGATAGATTTAGCACGAATGAATCTAAATTTAAAATATTCCAATTCAGTGAGATTAATATCAATAATCTCTATCTATCTATCTACTAACTCACTTAAAAATCAGATCCTGAAGAGATGGTAATGCCGCAAAAAAAAGTGCCATACTTACCCTCTATTCTTTTCTCAGTTATCCCTGAGGGACAATCCTCTGGTAGTGAGATTCGTATCGGACATGACGCACAATCCTCCATCGTTGCTCGAGTACGCCGCCAGAGTGATCAAGACCAGCGACATCCGGTACGACGAGACGAGTATACCGAAAAACCTGGTGGAATATTTGAACAGCGGCCATCGTTGCGTGAATCCGAAATGCAAAGGTTTGTACATCAAAATTAAATGTAAATATAAAAATAACCGCAGCTGGCATCAGACACGGATTTGAATTTTTCTCTTTTCGCAGGTGTGTTTTTCAACAACCGAGTGGAACACGTCAAGTTCGTCGATTTCTGCGGCAAGTACCGGTTACCGTTGCTGCAGTATTTATGCAGCCGGAAGTGCATCGAGTCCCGGGACGGAGACGAAGTCGTTAGCGGTGCGATGATCAGGAAGGTTCTGCTTGGCTGATCGCTGCCGCGGCTGTTCTACACCATGATAACTCGTTCGAGAAGCTAAACTAGCCGCCATCGGTCCGTTGTTGTGGAACCAAGGACTTTTTGTTTCAATCGATCCGGGTCCTCGATGAATTCTTTTTTACCAAAATTAATTCCGATCGGGTCTAGAATCTTTCACTCTTTTCTTTGAAAAAGCGAGTGAACTCGTTCATTCTTTTTTAATTGCGTGTATCGGCAGTAATCATATTCAAAACTATTTTATTTAATTAAAAAAACGTAACTCCGTTTTTAAGACGATTCGATGAAGCATCAGATAAATATAAAAATATTTAATATCGCATGGTATTAAAGCTATCGGATTAATTTGTGATGCATCAAACGAGCATCGATGCTTTCCTAAAGTACTAAAGGAACTTCGATTCAATGCAGTATTGGTTTCGGGTATCGGATTAACTGAATATCAGTAATAATAATCAGTAATAATAATGTCAGAGTACCGATTCCATCGCAACGTGTCATTGTAACTGCGAAGAAAAATGGCGTACAGCAAGGCGTTGAAAAGAGGTACAGTAATGTCTCCCTAACTGACGCTTAGATTGCGCACAAAAATGGACAATTTGGGAAGAGAAGACACGATTATTCGAGCCTCGCGCTTTATTTTTATAGCTATAAATTGTCCACGATTATATAAACGAGCCCCGCGAGGCTCGAATAATCGTATCTCCTCTCCCCAAATTGTCCATTATTAGTGGACAATCTGAGCGTCAGTAAGGGAGACATTACTGTAGCTTCTTAGATCTCTGGAGATCCAACTGGAATACCCTCTTGGATCTCGGGAGATTTATAACTAGTACAAGGAACGTGATCGAAGGACCCGTAGATCTCGGTAAAAAGAATCTCTCCTCACTGCCGTGAAGAAATTGTGATCGCGAGGATCAAATTGTGGCCGCGTATAAACAGGGTGTCCTGAAAATGTCTCGCAATCCGGAAATGGGAGGTTGCTGAGGTGATTCGAAGCAACTTCTTCCTTTGCGAAAATGTTCTCCGAGGCTCCGTTCGCGAGTTATCGAGGAAAAACAGTGACCAATGACAGAGCGAGAGCGGCCGGCGATCCGCCCTCCGCGCCGCGCCGGCCGGAGACGCTCATTGGCCCCGCCGCGACGTGCCGCCTCGCGCCAGCCGAGCTCGCTCTCTCGTTGGTCAGTGTTTTTCGTTGATAACTCGTAAACGAAGCCTCGGAGAACATTTTCGCAAAGGAAAAAGTTGCTTCAAATCACCTCAGGAATCCCCTACTTTCGGATCGCGAGACATTTTTGGAGCACCCTGTATATGTGTTTCTCTCTACGACTAGTCTTGTAAGATGCAATAACGTTGCCCCCGGAGTTCGTTCTCACTTCCTGTATGTACTTACGTTTACGTCCGGCTGTGGATGATGGCCCGAATGAAACCGCGGCCCGTTAACATTATCGTTTTATTGTTAAATAAACCACAAAATGTACAATAATAATATTATCATATAGAGCCCCGCGAACGGAGGCGGTCGATCCTCGCTTAAACACATATCCATTAATATTCTACAATTACCATATCGACTATGTGTGTTCTGTGTGTGACCGTGTGAAACTAAAAACACATCCGAGAAAGTGAAACGTAGCGAAAAAACGTAGCGACGGCCGAAAGTTACAATCATGCCGTCGTTATATCTCGTCGTAATCATTTAGGATTCCATAGAACATCGTTAATTATTCGAATAATCGGTGACGATCGTAAACATAGCAATTGTAGTAAGAGTTCGCTACTTTATCCTCTCTCTCTCTCGCGCGCGTTCTCTCTCGCTCTCTCTCTCTCTTTCGCTCTCTTTCTCTCCCACTCTTTCTCTCTCCCACCGTGTCTTCCCCCTCCTCCTTCTCGTCCCCGTTTCATCACCGTTAATTCTTATCCTCTTTAAATCACCGTATAATGTCGCCTGCGTAATTACCTATACATACATATACATATTCATATATATGCGCTCTGTATTTATACATTACATACATATATATGTGTGTACATGCTTCAGTTTTATTTCTCGTTTCCTTCCATCTTGCCATCTTCTCAATCATTCTCTCTCTCTCTCTCGCTCTCGCTCCGTTTCTTGCTCCTCCATTCTCGCTCTCCCGCTCCCCCCTCCCCGTCTCCGCGAAACGAGTTCGAGGGCGTAATTCTCTTTCTTGCACGCGGGAACATGCGCTCCGTCATTCTGACTCACAATAAAACACGCGACCACACTCAGCCACTCGCACACGAGCACACAGAAACAGGAAACGCGTTCGTTTCGCTCCTTTCCTCAGCCTCTTCGGATCAGCGTAAATTATCTTATAGGCGTGTGTGTGTGTGTTTTTTTCACGGTAGTAACTAATGCTACACCATTCCAACCTCTCTCTCCCCACTCCTAACCTCTTGCCACCGTATATATTCCTCGCGCTCGATCGGTAATCTTCTTCTTTTTCTTCTCCCCCCACTCCTCCTCCTCCTTCGTTTGTTTCATTTCCCTCCTCCTTTTTTTGTTAATCTTTTTAATTTCTTTAACTGCGTCGTAAATATCTTCTTTAGGTATTACTATGTATATTAACACAATTTTTTTTCCCTAGTATCATACAGTCGTAAGTAACGGCGACCCTCTCGGTATAGCATGCACGGATCGCGCATAGTGCTGTCGATGATTAAAATCGTGATTAATGGACGTCTTGCTGGTTGGAAAATGAAGATATTACAGCTTTACTACTCGTCGATGATTCTCTCTCTCTCTCTCTCTCTCTCGCTCTCTTACTCTCTCTTTCCTTCTCTGTTTCTTAAACGGACACGTTTAATGAAAACTTAAACGCTCAGGATTAACAGCCATCGACTATAGTTAGCGGGTGAGTGCACGCGCGCTTGGGCGGCTGCTAACGATTGTTGGCACGCGGTCATTACTAAAGCACTTTAATTAAGCGATTGACTGCAGTCAACCGCGCACTCGCTTGATAGCGGCTCAGCAGCCGTTGACTCCATTCAACACGCCTGGCTCGAGTAAAGCGAGTGTTCAGCGATGACTATAGTCGACTCGCGCAGCCTAAGAATAAGCGCTCGTGGGGCCATCGACTATAGTCGTACACGCAAGCTCGACGAAGCGTCCAAGACTGTCGACTACAGGCACCTCGGACAAAGGATCGCGCACGATCGGTGATTTAATTTTTGTATGGTATTGTATACAGGCTGTCCCGAAAATGTCCCGCAATCTGGGAGAGGATGATTCCTAAGGTGATTTGAAGCAACTTTTTCCTTTGCGAAAATGTTCTCCGACGCTTCGTTTACGAGTTATTAACGAAAAACTGTGACCAATGAGAGAGCGAGTGCGGCCGGCGCTCCGCCCTCCGCGCCGCGCCGGCTGGAGACGCTCATTGGCTCCGCCGCCTCGCGCCAGCCGCGCTCGCTCTCTCGTTGGTCAGCGTTTTTCGTCTATAACTCGTCAACGGTGCGTCGGAGAAAATTTTCGTAAAGGAAAAGGTTGCTTCAAATGACCTAAGGAGTATCCCTCGCTTCTCGGAATTGCTATAATTTTGAAAGTTGCTTCGAATCACCTGAGGAATCCTCTACATTCGGATTGCGAGACATTTTCGGGACAGTCTGCATAGTTGTCGTCGAACGAGCGGCAACCATCGACACAGCGCGTCGACCGGAGAGTGTAGTCGATATATCGGGTATTATTAGTGAACTCTGTAGTCTCTATAATAGATATCGATCTGAATGGGTGATTATAATCGACGATATAATTTCGAAGAACAGTATACGATCGGTTATAGATGGACCGTTGGTTATATAGCCGACCCACCAACTTAAGTAAGCGCATTGAATCCGTCGACTATACCCTCCTCCTCCTCCACCTTCTCGCACACGCTCCACCAAAATAGAGAGGACTATAGTCCATGGCCATACCGAAAGGGGCTAAATCTCGCCTCCACAGACGATGCCGCCGCGTTCTCATCCGCACGATTACCGCGCCGCCCACGGTCGTCGGAACAAATACAATGACTTCCGGTGGCGCCGGTCGGAAGTTAACCTTGCCACGCTGCTGCTGGACGCTCGACGTCGTCATGCTGCCAATACAGGGTGTCAAGGAAATGGGAGGTTCTTGGGGTGATTTGAAGCAACTTTTTCCTTTGCGAAAATTTTCTCCGAGGCTTCGTTCACGAGTTATCAACGAAAAACGGTGACCAATGAGGCGCGAGATCAGTCAGCGCGCGGCGGCCGAGCCAATGGGCGGGACCGAGGTCCGCGCGCTCGTTGGCCGGGCCGCCGCGCGCCAGCCGAGCTCGCCTCTCATTGGCCACCGTTATTTCGCCGATAACTCGCAAACGAAGCCGCGGATCGCATTTTCGCAAAGGAGAAAGTTGCTTCAAATCGCCTCAGCAATCATCCTCTCCCGGATCGCGAAACATTTACAGGACACCCTGTATAAAATCGTTCGGCCGATTCGAAAAATTTCATTCTAAGGAGAATCCGTTGTTGTACCGTGTGCTCGAAGATCGGATTGAATTTAGTGGAATGATAGGATCCGCGACGATACAACGCTCCTCGATTTCTCAGCGAGCAAACAGCCCTCTGGCAACACCGACGAAGCTCTCCGTCATTCGTTGTAAATGCCGGAGAGTCGGTAAGAGAGACAACTGCCAGTAATTTCGCTCTCTAATACGCGGTCGGGTCGCGCGAACTGCGAATTCGGGTAGAGGCGTGTGTCGCGCCTTGCGGCTCGTTTTCACGCGGCTCTTGTTCACTGTACGTAATCGGTGGCCGAATGAGAACGAGCCGCGAGGCGGCAAATCGTCAGCTTTTGTGCGCGAATTAGGCAGAGAGATCGCTGTATTACCGAACGGAACCGTCGCGCGCCGAAGAGCGTCCAGAGTCCCCATCGTTTCCTCCCGACGAAGTCGCTGTATTCGGCTCGACAAGCGAACGGTTTACGTTTCCCGTTGCGACCGGTCACGCGAGAGACTTCTATTCGTCCACCTGCTCCTGCGCCACCGCCTCCTCCTCCTCCTCCGCCTTCTCCGCCCGCTTCTCCTCCTCCTCCTCCTCCTCCTCCTCCTCTCGGCTCCCGTCGTCCGGATTCGCTTCCTGCTTGTCCTCCCGCTTCGACTCCTCCATCGTCTCTGTGCTTCGCACACTGTCCTCCCCACTTTCGCATTCTTTTACCGTGTTTTGTCTCGCGTCTGAACCAACAAAAGGAAATCTCTAGTAGAGAGCCTTGACAGTCCGGGGGGTGGGGTGGGGTGGGGCGGTGAGAGGACGGACAGGAGAGGAGGGAGAAATTGTTTCGATGCAGAATGAACAAGGATCATCAGGCGTGTACTTCACACTTCTGAAGGCGCGCGGGTTCTGTGTTGATACGGACGTGAGTAACGACGCGCGATGATGGCGAAAGCGATCGGAGATCGGCTTCTTGCGCACGATTCTCGTTGGGAGAACGAACAGGTGAGTCCCCTTCGAGGCTTCGTGGAGCCCCCGCGGTCTCGCTCAACGAGGGTGCACGATGAAACCGAATTTGTCATGACGAGATTATGGGCTGGCGATCTGCTTTGATACTGAGGACAAGGGGGTGCTGTGAGGCTGATTTTTCAATGGTGTGTCTGTTTAAAAAATCGTTCTTGTACAATCGAATCTGACCAGAAACGAGCCCGAGAGAGCTCGGGTTTATATATATATATATATATAGCGGAGAGTTTCGACGGTGAAAAAACCTGGACAACGCGGCGGTGTGCACTTCGGATAATCGATCCGTTCGCCCTCGGATTGACAGAACGCTTCTGAAGAGGATGTCCCTATATATAGGCATTGTCCCTAAGCGAGTGCTTAAAATAGGCGGTGCTCGAGAGGAACGGAGCTCTGCGCAAAACGGGACACTCGGTATGTGTGTGAGAACTTTTACTAGTGTCTAAGTTGTGCTGGGACCGGTCGTCCTGGAAAGTCACGGTTACATTTGTTCACGGGCCGCGCCGTTGCTCGCGCTCTCACTACTCGGGAGCCCCACGGTAACATCTCCGAAGTTGCCGCGCGGCGGCTCGAGGAGCCGCACGCTGCGCGAGCACCGTGCGCGATCACCGTGCTCGACGACGGCAGGGTTGTCCAAAATACTAGAGGTTGGAAACTATGAAACGGACGTTTTCGTTTAGTCTCTGTGATCAGCCGCGACTGTGTTTATTGTAATGTGCAATATTTTGCTCGATATTTTTATTGATAAATTTTAAAGCTATTCTTCTTACTGATTTCGTAGAATTTTTTTTCGTCTTTGTATCGCATTTTTAGTTTATTCTTCTCCGAAATCTGATGGAAACGAAACGCGATTTTTACATCATTCAACGCCCGTTTCATGGTTTTAGAGTTTCTAACCTAATAATTGTTGCTCTCGTGAATTTACTTGTAGCGTCCCGCCCGAGTAAGTATTAACCCTTTGCAACTCGAATGTGGCGCCACTAAAAATTGGTGTACTATTTTTCAAAATCATTCCAAGAGCATCGGACTTGTTTATATTTGAAAAAAAAGCTATTAAAATTGCATTGTACTCGCCGATATGCTAAATTTCATATGCTGTGGCATATGTGGCGCCACTAAAAATTGCTATACTATTTTTCAAAATCATTCCAAGAGCATCGGACTCGTTTATATTTGAAAAAAAGCTATTAAAATTGCATTGTACTCGCCAATAGGCTAAATTTCACATGAAATAATAATAAATTATATAATAACATATGATACAATAATATACTATATAATAAGTTATATAAAATAGAAATACTGTAAATCAGAAATCATGTTTTCAATTTCGAATTTAAATAGCTTCGACTGCAAAGGGTTAATCAGATCTCCGAATAAGAAATCCGCATTGCAAGAACAGCGTCTCCGTGTCGACGCAGAGTCCTCCGACGAAACGGCGGATTCCTTATTAATTAATTTAACAAACAATTTAACCAAGAATCGTGTCATGTTCGCCGAGTGCTTCTGTATAGGTCGCTTCGAGGTTTCGTTCAACGAAAACGAGAGATCGAACATGACACGACGACGACAAGGTTATGTCAAGGTTATAGGTTGTAGTTATGTAACCCGGTTATGTAAGGTTATGTAAATTATCGTTCGGAGATGTTACCGTGTCGCGATCGTGTTCCCCCACTCCTCTCCCTCTCTCTTTATCTTCAATATTCGTTTCTTAACGTAACCTCTAAAGACTTAGGAAAATAGTAGAAGTGTCTTAAGTATTGGTCGTCGGCGACGTAAAACCATCCGACGTGTTTCGTCGGCTCCGGCTCCCACCTTTACACGGCGAGGTAGAACACGTGTTAGAGAACGTGACGAAGAGTACGGACAGAATTCGCTCTAGTGGTGCAAAAGTAAAAAGCTTATAAAAATTCGAACGTTTTCGTTTGACAGCGTTCTCTGGGGAAAGTAGTAGAGTTGTTTTTTTTTTCTCTCCTCGATGAGCTCCAATATGAGTTTCGTCGTGGTCCTCGTTTCCCAAGATAATCATCGCGCGTGTGGTTTCTCTTTTCTTTCGGCTTTTTTTTTTAGGTTATAACGCACGCCTCGGTTCCCGCTCGGTCGGCGTCGCGAGCTGCGACAAAAGAGAGCGCGTAACGCTGAACGGGCGGCGTAACGGGCTAGAACGCTCGCCACACACACACACACACACACACACACACTGACTCACACACATTGCATGTATGTATCGTGCACGCGGCCCGCGCCTCGGCTTCTTCGCGTCGCGCTGCCGAAAACGCACGCCTGTGTGTCGATCGCGTTCTTAAGCCTACGTCTCGTGCTAAACATTTAGTAAGACATTCGTCGCCGCGACGGATCCGTTGAGAATCGTGCAACGCGTTTTTCAGTTACTTTAGAATGAAATCGAAGCTTTGTCCAGCGATACAAAGCGTTTTTATCCTTTCCTCGATTTTGTTGGTTATTTTCCTCGGTTATTCAGAGGAGTCGGACACGCACATTTTTTTACGTTATTTCTAGAAATTGTGAGGTTAACGGCGGAGCGGCGAGTTACGGCGGCCCTGGAATTTTATCGGAGAGAAGAAAAATCGCGTTTCGAACGCGCGCGCCAAAATATGGCGTGCGGAAATTTCGCGGGAATTATTCGCTTGGAAATTTCGGTATTCATTTTATTTTGCGTTCAGTATTTTCGCGTATTCGAGACGATGAATACTAATATTTTGTGCTCGTCGATCGGTTCTCGGTAAAATTCCAAAGACGCTTTTCGTGTTTCTTCGCTCATTTCTTCCCCCCCCCCCCACCCCACTCTGTTTTCTTCCGGTTAATCTCTCCGCGAAAAATCATGTTCTCGCAAAGGACGGGGAATGCTTCGTGTATAAAAATCGTGAACGGTCTCGCTAAAATCGATCACCGAGCGTTACATGTAGGTCCGCGGAAATGAGGAAAAGCGTGTATAAAAAACCGCGTCGAATTATTTAGTCGTCCTTTGAACCGCGTTTCGACTTCGGAACACGTGTTTTCGGGAAATGTTGTAGATTATGGAAGTTTTGCGGTTGCGTCGAGGTGTCTCTTCTTCTTCTCCAACCGACAGGAGAGGCTTCAATTTTTTTCTACTATATAGTGAAACTTGAGATATATCCGGCAAATCGAACAGCTTATAGTTACGGCAAGGTTTTCGATAATGGTCGCCCCCGCCCCCCTCGAATCCAAGAAAGGAAAAGAACCCTCCGCGAAATTGATGAAACGGCGTCGAAGCAGCACCTTGTACAATTGAATTCTCTGGTTTCTGTATAATATATATAATATAATAATATATAATATATGCTATTATATAATAATATAATATAGCAATATATAATATATACTATTATATAATTATATATTATTATTATTATCATTATATTATTATTACATAATAATATTATATATAATATATATAATAATATATAATAACGGCTATAGCATGCTTCCACTTGGCGGTCGGAGAAACGTTCGTAGACGAACGGGGAATGCGACAGTGTCTCGCAAAATCGTGAAAGATGAATCGTTAATCACATCGTTAACCGGCTACTTTTAATTTCCATATTAATTCACTACCTACAACACACACACAAAGACATAGACTCGAGATCGTAACAAAGAACGCAGGAAGAACAGTTACAAAAACGAAGTTACAGGTCGGGTGGCACGGAGGCGTCGACATTACAATAAAAAAAAGCCCGCGCAAATCTGTTGAAATTTAATACGAAATCGTATTTCTTTTATTGCCCGTCCGACGATGACCGCTCGCCGGAATGAAGAAAAGCACGTACGGTGTTACGGCGGCCGCATTTTTGGCCGATTCTGAATCATCATCATCATCATCGTTCGTTGTACGTTTCTTTTATTCCATGAATTTCGTATTAAATTCGTCGGGGCTCCTGCGATGTTTCGCAAAGAATATAGATATGTATATACAGGGTGTCCCAAAAATGTCTCGCAATCCGAAAGTGGCGGGTTCCTCGGGTCGTTCGAAGCAACTTTTTCCTTTACAAAAATGTTCTCCGAGGCACCGTTAACGAGTTATTAACGAAAAACAATTGCCAATGAGAGGCGAGCTCGGCTGGCGCGTGGCAACCGAGCCAACGAGCGGAACTAGGCTTCGCGCGATGGTTGGCTGGGCCGCCTCGCGTCAGCCGTACTCGATTCTTATTGGTCGCTGCTTTTTCGTTGATAACTCGTTATCGGTGCCTCGGAGAAAATTTTTATAAAGGAAGAAGTTGCTTCAAATGATCCGAGGAACCCGCCATTTCCGGATTGCGAGACATTTTTGGGACAACCTGTATATGTATACATATATACACGTATACACATACATACATATCTCTTGTCGAGGTTAAATTGTGTTCTCGTCGCTTCTACGATGCCCGGGAAAACTAAGTATTTAATCGAGTTAACGTTAAATCGAACTAATCGTAACAATAAAACTGGCTTAAATCGTGCTTCGTTTTTCTCGAGCGGCACTATTTAATTAACGCAACGATGGTTCGACGTTCGAACGGAATATTTCTTTCTTTTACTTCGCGAACGGTTTCATAACGGTCCATTTTAAATATGCCGTAAAACCGGCGAAAAAGATGGCGTTGTTTTTTTGGCGAAGAGAAGATACTTTGGAGCATCGTGGACAGCTCTGACGTGTCTCTGTGCTGTGATGGAACTGTTTCCCTCGTCGAGGTTCGGGTAT